ATTACCTGCTGCTTGCGTGGGATCTTTGCCTGTGTCGGGGACGTTAATATCCGTGGACCACCGCGGATCAGATCCGGTTGACAGATTGGTGATCAATGCTCTCGCTTCACGAAGGAAGTGATTGCAGTAGTGGTGATTTTGACTAAACAAAATCACGGCTCTTCTCGGGATTTAAGACCAAGCTTAAATCCGGAGGAATAGGGGACGGGTCTCAGATCTCTCGAACTCCACTCTTTATGCGCAGGAGATCGCCAAGATCTGCTAACCCTTGCTGTAAATTCGTGGCTCCACTCTCCAATTCGGCAGCGCTTCACCCTCTTGATCTCCTCCTCTTGAAATGAGCACCCGAGCTCCTATTTATAAGCTTCGGGAGTGGGTATTTGGATAAGAACAAGAGGTTCTTCTCTATCTTCAGTTGAGAACTGAATAACCATAGTATCAGATCAGTTGGAACGTCCAGGAATAAACAAATCCCAAGAAAAAATCGTCAAAATCGAAAAATCACATTTCTGGCTGAACTGTCACCTGGTGGCTCGGCCGCCGAGTCACCTTCTAGTGATCTGGCTTTGGGCCGAATCACTGGTTCGGCTGAGTCGTTTTGATGTGACTCGGTCACCAGCTGCTTTTATTGGTTTTCCGGGTTTTGACTTGTTTCGTCGTTACGCGTATTTCATCGTTTCGTTGATCTGTACGCTGTTTTAGTGGCCGATGTTTGACTTGTTTCGTCGTTACGCGTATTTCATCGTTTCGTTGATCTGTACGCTGTTTTAGTGGCCGATGGGCGTGCGGGCCATTTGGTGCGACCATTTGGTGGCTGGTGAGTACATGGGCCACTTGGAGGTGGTCGGTGAGCGCACAGGTTATTTGGTTCGCCGTTTCGCTTCATGTGTTCATCGGCGTCGGATAATCCTCTAAGACTTAGATAGTGGCATTCATCAACCTTCTCTCTGTCTCGGCATGTTGTGGGATACCTATATGCATTTTTAAGACGGCTACATATATAAATTTATTACTCTCTATATAAATATAATTATATATTGAATATAAGTTTATGTTACTATATATGGTATAGATATATAAAATATATATACTTTATACTTTTAATTTAATACTTTATACTAAAATCTTATATGCTACATATAAGTTTCATTTTATAATATGTGTATATATTATAAATATACTATACATTATATGTATAATATATGTGTATATATATTGTATACTCTTATCTATATTATATATAATATTATATATTTATATATATATATATAAAATATATAATATATATAATATATATATATAATATATATAATATAATATATATATATAATTATATATATAATAATAGATATATATTATATATATAATATATAATCATAATTATATAATTTTTAATATATGTTTATGTATTTAAAATTTGTTTATGTAATTTCTATAAGTACTTACAATTGTTTATAGTATAATATATGAAGACATGATTATTATAAAAAATTTATTTTATATTTTTTTATTTTTATAATTTTGCTACGTAATTATGTCATTCATTAATAAAAAAAAGTATTAATTTTTTAATTTTTATGTATATTTTATGCTTTATTATTTTTAAATAAAATAATATTAAAAATAAAAAAACCGGCCGCGTCCGAGCTCGGCCCGCTCAGGCCCGGCCCAGTCCGGGCTAAGTTTTTGCCGACCCGGACCGCGTTTCCCGGCCGGACGGGCGGATCGTTATCGGACAGGTCTATTTATACATTATTAGAGAGAGTATACTTATATCTCTTATACATATTATTAAGAGAGATCACACTTATACATATTATAATATACTTAATAAAGAGAGTATACTTATATAAGAGAGGGCTATATTTATATATACTTATATACTAAGAGAGTGAGTATATATATATATATATATATATATTATATATAAAAGAGAGAGTATACACTGTACACATATATAAGAGAGATTACTGTATATATATATTATATTAAGAGAGAGCATACTTATATATATTTATAACATATTTCATACATATATAAGAGAGGTATACTTATATATACTTATAACATATATTAATGAGAGAGCATACTTATACATTATATACTTATTATAAAAGAGATATACTTATATATTACTTATACATATATATACTTATACAGATGAGGTATACTTATATATACTTATTACATATTTTATACATATTATAATAGATTAGTATAACTATATAGCATTATATTCTAGAGAGGTATATATAATATATATATTATATATTATATATAGATATATATATATTATATATATAATCATATATATATATATATATATATGTAAAAAATTAAAAATAAAAAAAGTTACTATTACGACCCTAGCCCGGGCCGACGCTGATGCTGCCCGGAGCCCAGTTTTGTCCGGATTTCGAAGGCCGACCCCGAGCCGGCCGCGGTTCCGGCCCGACTGGGCCCGGGCACCGGGCTTTTTCCGGACACCGAGTTTTTTGGACACCCCTAAACCCGGTGGATTTGCTCTGTCAAATAATATCGTATTTGTCCTTGAATACTTTGTGTGTCTAAGCTACTTATTCCAAATTTCGTTAATTGCAGATACGTACTTTGTCCTGCAAGGGACTAACGAAGTACCCCCCACCCCCCAAACTATTTTAGTAGTACTTACGTCCTCTGACTTCGTACTACTTTATATCTCTCGTATGGTTGGTTTGTATGTCTCGTGGAAATCATGCGACAATAGATTAATATTTGCCCCCGTACTCGCTAACAAAAAAAAAAGACTAAATTTCCCTCTAAACCATGGTGATGTGTATATGCAATTTACCTTTCCAACTGTGCAAGTCCAGCATTTATATGCCAGAATATTCTTGACAGCCATCAAAATTTTGGAAATAATTAAAGGGTCTACTATAGTAAATAATACCACTTTGCATTGTTGAGTAAAGATATGAAGAATGTATGTTACTGAATTGGACAATAAGTGGTATTTTCTACTTTCATCACATATTTAGACTATTTCAACATATTTATGCCTGACTTTTGAGACAGCTAGATTGTCAAAGTTATTCACAAAATGACACAGCAGTGACAAAAGATTATAAAATTTTGATGTTTGACTATAAATATCACAACTTGATCCCTTGCTTTTCTCAAAGATGGGTGACCTAAAGAGTTTGGTATTATTATAACCCTAGGCGTATTTGAATACTTCATCAGAAGAATTAAGAAAAAACGATTTGCACACAAATGATGCTTAATGTTATAGTTATTTTATAGCTATTGGGAATTAATGATAGTTTTGTTTCCTTAGAGTCAGTGGCGTGTAAATAAAGAATGGGGAGTATGGAGGTGACCCTCCAAATATTAGACATTCTACCGATCATATAAATTCTAAAAGAGGAAAACGTCAAATGTCGTACGATTTTCTCATTCTTTACTGATTTTCATTATATAATATTAGACGTGAAGTTCCTATCAACCATCAAAGATGCTAGATTTACGCCATGATGTGTAAATAACATTAGACAGTGAAGTTTCTACTAACCATCAATGGTGCTAAATTTATTCTGTGATGTGTAAAATTACTGCTGTGCTGAAATAGTTTTGACTTTTTGTTTTCTCTTTTCTTTTTTTTTGGGGTTCGACGAGGAAACTTCCCCACGATTCTTCCGACCATGGATTTCACACTCTCAAGCGTGGCTAAAGGACACACCCCGACGGACAGCCTTGAGTTTTCCAAAAAATTAAATTTACGTGGGTGCTTTTCAAGAAAGTTAAATTTGAGAACTTTGAGTATCTACTCATAGACAGCTTACCTACAAGGCTACAACATCAATTAAATTAAATGGCCTAGCTTGGTTCACAAAAGATTGGGATTGTTAGTTGGAAGTTCAAGCTTCAAATATTAAGCAAGTAGCAGAGCACTTTGATAGAATGGAGAGCAATAAATATATTTATAGATGTCATCTTCTCTTTCGTGATAGAAAAATTGATGATTTATTTACAGATTATAGTCATGTTACCCATCTTGGCAAAGCTCGCAAATCCTCAAATGCTAATGGCCCTAAAATATGACAGTTCGATAACTTAGAAGAATTCCAATTTC